CAGTCAGGGCACATAAGGGAGGCAACTGATCCATATTTCTCTCTGCCTCTCTCTCTACCTTCCTCTGTCTCTAAAATCAGTAAACATGTCCTTGGGTGAGGATTAAAAACATTTTTTTAAAGATACATTTACAAAGAATATATGTAATTCTCCATAAAATACGTTTTATCTTTTGAGAAGTAGATAACTATAGATTTCAGCTATATTGTTCCTTTTTAACCTAAAAATCAATAATGAATAATTATGATTAAAAAATGAGTGTCAATGAGCCCTTGCTGGTGTGGTTTAGCAGACTGAGTGCCAGCCAGCAAAGTAAGGGGTTGATCACTGGTTCGACTCCCAGTCAGGGCACATGCCTGGGTTTTGGATCAGGTTTCCAGTAGGGAGCATGTGAGAAGCAACCACACACTGATATTTCTCTCCCTCTCTTCCCCTCTAAAAACGAGTAAATAAAACCTTTTAAACAAGAGTGCCAATGACTAACTATACTTACTAATAAGGACAGGAAAGTAACTTTAAAATTGTTTTTAATATTTACCTGCAATTAGTTATCAAAATGTTTTTCTGGACCAGCTACTTCATTACTCTTCAATACTAAGTGTCCATGACCCCAAATGTTTTAAGACACAAATATACATACTACTATTGTACAACAAAATTATGCTTTATGAAAGTCAAAACAAAATGCCTTTTGGTTACTGTCAATTTAAGTCAGAGCTTCAGAGAAGGAAAAAAGTGATTAGGTATTTACTACAAAATTCTCCATTTAAATTATTGCTTTTTTCTTCATGAAGCAAAAATAATGTTGACTCTTCTCAGAAAGACTACAGAGGAGTTAGAAGCTTCTTGTTCTGTGGTATAAAATACTCAAGATCCTTATGAAAATTATCCTAGGCTATAAGGTCCCCAAGAAAACAAACAAACTATAATAATGGAGAAGAGGCTGAGCTTTGCTAAACATGGGGTTTCCCCCCCCACTTCCCTCCAACTTTTCCCATAACAACAACCTCTACTAACAAAAGTAGCCTTTAGCAAGTAGCTCCCTAGAGGATCCTCTCTCTCCTTGAGTGCTTACCACAATCTGATTTCTGGACAGCTGACCCAAAGTTTGTTTGTTGATTTTACTGATCTTCAGAAAGCCACTGCCTGGCTATAGTCTTAAAGGTGAACAGAGTCAAAAATCAGATGCCCCTGCCATACTTTACAGAATGAGGAGTTGGACAACACAGTTACGTTTGGCTGCACTGTGGTGAAACATATGAGGCATCTTCTTTTTGTCTTCAATTAGCCACGTTTGGGCTGAGTAGCTCTATTACATCTTCAAAAAACTGAGCTCCAGTTCTTGATGGAGATAGAGGAAGGTCATTGAGGAGGTGGTTCAGCTCAAGAGCTAAGTGAAAAATCTGTCTTTTGATTCAGTCCTGCTTGTGGATAGAAGTCATCTTCTGGATGGAAGAGGGAGTGAGATGACCTAGAGTCTTGAATTGGTGGATCTGCAGGAACAGAAACTAAATACAGTGGAGACCTCTTAACTGAGTAACACCACGAGATGGATTTCCTGACAATGTGTCAATATAAGCTAAATATAAAGATTAAACATGTGCATTGGAACTGATCATGCACTTGTTTTTCCAGCTATCAAATGCACTTCTATTATTCTACAAATAAATAAATAACTGTAAAATAATTTATGGAAAAAGTAACAATTTAAAAGGGGAGGGAAGACCTATTCAAACAAAAATCTACATACTTTGCCTTTGTGAGTGCCATACCCTCACTTAAAAAATTCCATTCTTTTGAATTACTTTTTCTTCACATATATAATCTGTCAATCCATATAGTGTTAATGGTAACATACACCGAATTTTAATTTGAGTTGAATTTTAAAAATATTTCTTTTTATCCCCTAGAAATGGAACTCAAGTATACTCAAGGTGCTACACTGAGGCTTGAATAATCTACCCTGCTGGTAATTTCTAAGACTTGTAATAACTAAGTTGAGTCCTACTTGTCAATCAAGAGAAGAATATAAATCACTGAAGTCAGGCAATCTTTAAATGTGAGTAGTGGCCATCTTAAATTTCCCCTCAAACTTTTATCTAAAACACCTAAGAAAGCCCACAACCAAATTAGAATGAAGCTAATTTTAAATTTCTCTCAATATTAACGAGAATATTGACGAACATTTGATTACCTACTTCCACTTAAAAAGAATCTGAATATGTAAATTTACTGTATATACTCTCATAATTATTAGACCAAGGGTCAGCAAACTACGGCCAGGTCGAAACTGTCACTTATTTTTGTAAATAGAGTTTGATTTGTACACAGCCACACTTATTCAATTATGTACTATCTATGAGTACTTTCATACTACAATGGCAGAAAAAAAGTTGTAACAGAGAAGGCAACATCTAAAATGTTAACAAATGGCCCTTTACAGGAAAGAGTTTGCCAACCCCTGATATAGACAATTATTAAAATACATGTAAGAAAATTTGCACTTCACATTGTTTTGAAAGAAAGAGAATTAAAACAAGTAGAATTAAAATCAGATACAGCCCAACCATAACAAACTTACCACAAAAAAGAAAAGTAAAATAAGTCCCAAGAGGACATTATCTGGCTTTGACTCGGATTAAGAATTTGATTTTATCTTAACTTTACCTTTTTTTTTAAAGTATATATACACAAATGCTATGGAACTAACATATTAAGAGTATATAAATAAATGCCACAGAACTATTCACTTAAAAATAGTTATGTTGTAAATTCTACCTAGAAAATGGTACTTTTAAAAGAGTATATACAGTATTTTACAGGTTCCTGTCTTTAAGTGGGCCACATTATATTGTAGTGGTTAAATATGTAAGTTACATCTTACCTAATAATGTGGTTTCTCCAAAATCTCTTAGATCATCTCAGACCCTTGTGTATATTTCTTCTTTGCCAGTAGATGGAGACAACACCACTGAAAGTTTAAAAGACATCATTCCCTGTTTAAAGGGAGCTTGCTGGTCTGAAAACTGGGGGAACTCTAACCCAAGATTTCTTCAAGTTATTTTTTAAAAGCAGACAGAATAACTATGCCAAAACCAGGAATCCAAAGAAATGTACCCAATTTAACTATGGACACTCTAAAAAATTTACTGAAGGAAAACTCAACTCTGTATATGATGCAATAACTAAATCATATTAAATTGCAATCATCTCTATAACTTGTAAGATTCAAACTTCTACCTCACTGCTCCTAATTTAGGCAATTTCATTTATTTTTCAGTTTCAGAAAGTGTAGCTCAGAATATATAAGAAAGAGTTCTTTGAATTCAACAGAAGTAGATACAGTACATACAGGATTTCTTAAGTATAGTCATATGTACTGCTTGAAGCCTTTTATTCAAAATAAGAGAACTATCCAGATCCAAATGAAAATAATAAAAACTTCATAAAGAGAACTGAAGCACTAATGCTCAAAGCAGTAAGAAAAAATTCAAGTTTATGGTCACACTGAGAAGAAATGCTCATGAAGAGGAAGAATCAATCTCTTCTATTTTCCAAGTTTCTTATTTCACTATTAAAAATTATATAAACAGACCAAAACCACCTTCAGAAATAAACTTCAAATCTGAAAGCTTAAGAAGTCATCTCAAAATATTATTTTAAAGTAACAGCTTTACTTTCCAAATTCAAAGCCTGTAAGCCATTGTTCTTAAGTGCAATTCTGAACAAAAAACAAAGTTATCAAGCTAAAGAGAGAACTCAAATATTGCTATACTATGTTTATTTGCCAAAACACTCCTGATCTTGAAGTGCACTAAACAAGAACAACCTACTGGCAGAAAATCTTAACAGAAAGATTTACCTTAAACCAAATAATATTATTTAAAAATACCAAAACCTATAAATCTCTTATCTTTGTGTATATTTTGCTCATCCTCTGATCATATATATCAGAACTAAAATCAATTTCCATAAAAGGGAAGTGAATATAGTATTCAGATGTTACCATACCTACAATACCCATCTAGGTTAAAGTAGAACTGACAAAAACTGCAAAAATAAATCCTCTTAAAACTCATTACAAGATAAAGTAGGTAAACTAGACTCTGAACCAAAAACTTCTATTTAATTCTGAAACTGAAAACTATACTCAAGTTCTAACTGCCTATTAAGATCAATTAAACAACCATAAACACCTTTTCATCATTCTCATGATAAATTTTCTGTGGCTTTATTTAGTTAATCCTTGGGGTTGACTTCCTCTTGACAAACAACAACCTTTTTGACCCAATCCTTCAACAACTGGTAAGTAAAAAGGTAATACTAATTAAAAACAACCTCCATTAGAGAAAGGAACTTTCTCTTGCAATTTTCAAAGTACAGTCACATATATTAATTCAAATTTTATATTAGGAAAATCTCAAACATAATGTAAAAACTATGGCCAACATACATAAAATGTAATTCACAGTGAAATGTAAATACGTATATTTTGCATTGTAACCTGTTCAACAACACAGATGAGAAATACTTATACCCAAATGTTTTAAGGAAAGCAGTAACTAGAAGAGTATCCTGGAATTCCGTGATGAATATAAAAAGTATCGACCAAACTGCAATCTACAGACCATATTAACACTAGAAGAAATAAAAATGACCAACAAGGAATGAGTTTTCTTTATATCATTTGGATTTTGGAGGAAAAAACCACACACCAGGTATTAACCTGGCAAGTTCTTCTTAGGGATCTATGATGTCAGTGCTCCTGCCTCCACCTGCTGGCAAACAGATGATAAAACTAGCAGAGATCACTCATTAAAAAAGAATTTACATTTTTTTTATAACAAATTAATTTGTTTTATGTAATTTTTATTATGATGCTACTTTGTGTTAATCCCATTAAAAAGCATATTAAACTTCACCAAAAAATTACAAAAATTTTATTATATCAGAATGTTATCTAACAGGCCAAAAAGCAAGTTAAAAAAAATTTAAATTACCTGATAAATGACATCTTGAAAAAGGACTGGAAAAGTAAGTGCTGCATCTTCTAGCTCATTTAGACTACAGTGTACTAGTGTTTCATCCTTAAAATAAAAAACATATATTGAATAAACCAAGATAGTAAAAAAACTTTCCAATGATTAATTTTTCGTATCAGTGATCACCAGAAACATCTATTCAAGCACACGTTCATATGTGAAATTTTATATTCATCGTATATTATTACTGTGTAAAACACAGCAATTTAGACAGAATGTTCTTTAAAAAATTTTTAATTTATTGATTTTGGGGTGTGGAAAGAGAGAAACATCAATTTGTTTTTCCACTTATTTATGCGTTCACTGATTGCCTCCGATATGTGCCCTAATTGGGGATTGAACCCACAATGTATCGGGATGGTGCCCTAACGAACTGGGCAACGTGGACAGAGCTGGACAGCATTTTCTAAGTCACCTTTTCTGGTATAGTCCCAGGACCAGCAAGCAGCATCAACATCACCTGGGAACCAGTTAGAAATGAAAATTCTCCAGGACCACTTCTTATAATTCAGAAACTCAGCAGGACGTGAAAAAGAGCTCAACAGGTTTTTCCCAATACAAGCCATTTATTTGAAATGACAACTACATGTAGGATAAAGTCAGTGTTACATGCTTATCAGCAATCTGTTTCAATAAACTCTTCAGGTGATTCTGATGCATGCTCAAGTTTGAGTTTCCAACTTTTTAAAGAAAACCACATACACACTGCCCCCCTTTTATTTTACAATTGACAAATGTAAGTTTAGAATCTATTACATATATTCCAAAAATACATATATTTCTGGTCAACTATCCTTAAGCCTTTTTTAATGAATGTTTTCATACCTGCTGAATGTTTCCAGACATAAATATTGTTTAACTAAATAAGTAGTCAATGAAGACTTGCCATCTTTGAATACCAAACGCTGTTTTCTCATTAAAAGAATAAAGCAAAGATCATTTATTCAAAGATATGTGCAAATATTTGTATTTCTTAAATCCTGAATGATGAAAAAAACATGGTTTCCATTTATGTGACAATACTTTAAAAAATAAATAAGGCTGTTAATAACTATACTCCCAATTTTTCAATGCATTTAAGATGAATTGAAGTGAAACACAAATGTCCATACCTTGTGATTCCAGATCTTATAAGCTGGAATGTTTCTTTTAACCTAAAGTTAAAAACTCTGGGGAAGCAGACAGCAAAATATACTCTAAATACACCTCATTTTCTTTTAATAGCATCGTTTCAAGGTATTTTCATTGCATCTTAAAAAAAGTAGTCTTTCCTACAATTAACTTGTAACTAATTCTACTGCTTCATCTATAGCCTAAATTTTTATTATTCTGCTTTATCCTCTTCTGTAAAATAACTCAGCCAAGTCTTATTTTTCCTTCTCACTGGATTAAAAGTTATATGGCCAAACTTGCTACATCAACTCCTAACATAAAAATCAAGCAAGATCACCGTGGCTAGGTGGCTCAGTTGTTGAAGCAATGTCCTCTACACCAAAAAGTTTCAGGTAAATTACCAATTAGGGCCTGCCAGCATGGGAGGCACTGATGGATGTTTCTCTCCCACATCATTCATTCATTCATTCATTCATTCATTCTCTCTCTCTACCCCCCTCTCTAAAATTAATAAACATATCCTCATGTGAGGATTAAAAAAAATTAAAATAAAATAAAATGCTTTTCCTGAAGAAAAATTCTTTGTGAGAACTAAACTACATCTTCAATTATAGGGTACCAGTAACAAAAGCTAAATAATATAAGGTTTTCTAACATTACATGACACATTCAATTTTCTGGTATCCTAAACTATAAATTTTCAAATCATATCAAGAGCATGTTAAAGGTTTCATTACTCAGCATTAAGATATCATGCTTTTGAGTCTATTAATAGTCACTGGTACTAGGTAATAGACAAAAACGAGAATAGGAAAAAAGTGTATCATGTATAAGGTTAACTATATTTGGTCCTTTGAGGAAACATAATCCTGGCCCAAAAGTAAGTGAAAACCAGGCATGAAATAAATTTAGAATTTACTGGGAGATTTAAAAAGGTACCTGATACCAACCAAGCTAGGAATTCTAGCATTAGACTGTGCTTAAAAACATTTCAGCATATCTAAGACATATTTATAGTAAATATGTAAGGCTATTCAGTCACTTACATTCTTTTAGGTATTTTAGGCTAGTATTTTAAAAGTAAAACTTAACTCCTTACATCTACAAATAATATACTTACCAGATCTAAAACTAGGGAGAATTCTGGTGTGCTTCTTGTTTTCAATGGAAGAGCAGGTTTCCTATTTAGTTGTTCTTCTGTCAGTGGTGGAACATGTTTGATGAAATAATAGCTATAAATAAAATTTTAAGAAAATTTCAATATTTCTACTTTTACTCAGCCTATCTTTAAATCTTCAATTAAATAATGCACATTTAAACTAGTAAACCAAATATGTAAAACATGTAAATAAAACTGAGAATATACAAATTAGTGTTTCAGTAACTCAATAAAGTATAGGTCACATGCTCTTTGCACTATACCATCCAGCTACCCCTCCCCACATGTACTTTCATTCTGATCCAAGTAGGAAAGAAAGGAACTTACGGGTCAAATACTTCCCAGTCTTCTTCATAGGTGGCTTCTGCATGGGCTGATGAATAACCACTGTCTGGTGTTACTGGTGCTATTTAATAAATAAAAAATGGTACTTTTACTCAATGTTGCTGTGAAGTACACATTTTACTGTTTTTATATAGGTTCTTCCTGAAGCCCTGTGTATTTTAGGTTAAAGACAGAAATAATATCTAAACAGTACTCAAAGGCAAATTTATTAGCACATAGTTCTAACTCCAGATCCAAAGGAAAAAACTATTGTTACAGTCAAAATAGCCAGCTATATCATAGCTAGCAGAAAAAAATCCTAGGAGAAAATTTACTGATTATCAAAAAATATACTCCACAAGAATTCAATTTCTAAGCGGATGGTGTTTATGTATGTAACTGTAAAACTGTCAGGGTGCTCTTATAACAGTAATACTCCACAGAAGTACCTTGTACATATAGGCAGTCAATATGTGTTCATAACAGACCCAAGGTGACAATTTAACCTACAATCTATGAACAATCTTTAATAGGTCCACAAACCCCTTGAAGACTTATGAAAAAAATGTTATATGTACATCTTCCAAGAATCTCAAGGCTGTCTATGATCTTAAATAGTTATGAAATACTGCTTTATAAAGAAGTTATTGAATTAGAAAACTCATTATGTTACTTCTAATGTACAAATGACTTAAAATAATCAAGAAACAATTCTTTATTCCATGACACATAATCCATTCTACGTTTGAGTTAAAATTTTATATCAACTGACTGAGCTTTAGAAATTATGTAGGGAATTTTCTAAGAAAATTACAACCTAAATTCAAGGACGAAGAAGATAACATACAAACTAAACAGGTAATATCTAACAGATAAAAGTTTAAGGTGGATGCTAGAGACAGACTGTTTGTGCCTACCACCCACAGATTTCATACACTGAAACCTAATCTCTGATGTGATGCTATTTGGTTGGGTGTGGAGCCTTTGGGAAGTAATGAGGATAGAGTCCTTGTGATTGGGATTAGTGACCTTCAGAGAGCTCACATAGCTTCTGCCATGTGAGGACACAGTGACAAAACAGCTGTCTATGAACCAGAAAGCAGGCCCTCACCAGACATTGATGCTGTTGACACTGTAACTTGGATTTCCCAGTCTCCTCAACTGTGAGAATTAAATTTTGTTATAGTAGCCCAAAAGGACCAAGACAGTGGAACTCAATAAAAATTGCTGTAATTTTCATAACAACCTTATGCCAATTGAAGTTCATTAGCGCAAAGGGGTAAATGTCAAACTGTATCTTCCGAACACTTGTTTCAAATTCCTATTAACCTCAGAGAAATGGGGGAAAGGATCTCATGATTCTCCTAATCAGAGTAACTGCAATGTGCCACTTCATTATTTTGCTCATTTATTATTAATTTTTAAAATGTATTTTTCAATTATAGCTGACACACAAAATTAGTTTCTGATGTACAACATAGTGATTAAACATTTATATAACCATACAAAGTAATTAATCATCCAGATAAGTCTAATACCCGTCTGACACCAATAGTCATGAAATGTTATTGACTGTATTCCCTATGCTGTACTTTATTTTATTATTTTTAGAAAGAGGGGAAGGGAGGGAGAGAGAGGGAGCCAAGAAACATTGATGTGAGAGAGAAACATTGATCGGATGTCTCTCATACACACCCCAAAACAACAACCAAGGCATGTGCCCAGACCCTTGGGTTCATGCAAGTGACCCACACTGGCCAGGACACTGTGACTATTTTTTTTATTTTAAAGATTTTCTTTCTTTATTTTTAGACAGAGAAGGGAGGGAAAAAGAAAGACAAACATCAATGTGTGGTTGCCTCCTACACACCCCCTACTGGGGACCTGGCTTGCCACCCAGGCAGGTGCTTTAACTGGGAATCAAACCAGCAACCCTTTGGTTCACAGGCCCATGCTCAAGCCATTGAGCCACACCAGCCACCACGGCTATTTCAATAACTAACAATTTGTATTTTTTAACCCCTTTCACCTTTTCCACCCATCTCCCCAAACCCCTCTCATCTGGCAACCACCAATTTGTTCTCTGTATTCTGAGTTTGTTTCTGTTTTATTGTTCATTTACTTTGTGTTTTAGAGTCCACATATAAATGAATCATGGTATTTTTTCTCTGTTTAACTTATTTCACTTCCCTCTAGGGCATAATACCTTCTAGGTTCGCCCAGGTTGTTACAAATGGCAAGATTTCAATCTTTATTATGGCTGAGTAATATTCTATTGCTTATTTTTATTAGCACTCACAACACTATATAGTAACTTTTGTGTATAGTTGGTTCACCAATTAGATCATGCACGCTTCACGGTTAAGAAGCATATCTTACTTTACTTATGAAGTCCCCATCATAAAAAACAGGTGTTCAATACATATTAGGGGAATAAATGAATGAGACAACTGGACTAAATCTTACCTTTTCCCCTCTAAAAACCACTAATGTTAGAGAAATCCCTTCTCCATTTTCACAGTTATCAGATAAAATAAATACAAAGGTTTATACAACAACACAAAAATAAAGAACAAACATCAACTGAAAGCCAAAAGCCCTGGACTTTACCATTCAATAGCCTGTAACACTGGGCAAAGCAATCAGCATAAAATGATAGGTCAATAGTAGGTTCATTTGAAATCCTATCTACCCAAGAATAAACTATGTGCATAGTCCATGTTGATCTGCTTGTTAGATTCAGTATTATTCTTAAAGTATAACAATTTAATGTTAAATATATTAACATTATAATGTTTAACACAGGCATTAATCTTTTGACAAATTTAAAATCTCTCCTCTCTTATGCCGCTTTTCTCTTTATTACTGGATTGCACTATGTAGAAGTTTCACAATTGTATGCATTTTCTTTGATTATTAAAGTTTGCCTTTTATATTCAAGAGAAGAACACCATTCTACTCCCTTATACAAAATTGTATTTGTTAACCAGTACATATGTACTAGGCTCTCTCAAATACCCAGCACCACAAGGAACTTTTTAAAAATCTAAATAAAAGTGTAAGATCTTCTCCCACTGGGAAAAGATGGCCATCCTCAGTTTTATTTCAGCTTTTAAGCATGATGAAACACAACTTCATCTTTTCACCTTATATGTCTATCACAACCCCTGAGGTAACAATGAATTATGATCTAATGTTTTTTTACATTTCTATGACAACTGGCAGAGAAACCAAACAATTATGTTAGGTCTTTATTAGGTCCCAGAATTAGGCTACGAAGTTTGAGTACAGGGAGAGATCCAGGAACAGAGGCTTCTTTTTGGGGAACATCATCTATGCATGAAACAAACCTGAAGGTATGAGACGAGACTACCTCTGGACAGGAACTTCAGACCTAAGGGTTATCTAAAAGTATTATAATTATAATAATGAAATTCACAAAATGAGAACATATTTTGCTAGTTGTGTTAAATTTCTCCAAGCAGTAAGACCGGTACAAATAATTACTATAAAATATTATTACTCAGTCAAAACAGCCTTTTTGAAAAATTCAATTTCAAAATGAACAAATTTGGGGGAGAAAGTTTTATTTCCATTTTAATTAACTTCAAGAAATAAAAACTTATGCATTTAATCTGCATATTTAAGAAAAATATAAAATACTGTATTTTTATAAACTATTCTTGAAGATGCATAAGACAAGACATTTTCTTCACCTGTAAGGGGTGGGATATCACGATTAACTGTTTCTTCTGCTTCTTCTAAACCATTATTTATTGATGGCCTCACTTGAACTGCTTGATTTGCGTAAGCTGCTCCATTAGTTGATGTAGTGGTACTGGTAGTGATCTCATCCACCTGTTCCATATCAAGTTGTTTTACTATCTCTTCAGCTTCCACAGCCTGTCCTGGGGAATCGGATCCTGATGTTCCTGAAATCATGATTCGGTGTACTCACAATCATTTAAAAACTCATAGGGGATGGAAGAATAAAACATTGTTTAAGGGTACAAATTTACAATGATTAGTAAATAAGCCCTAAAGATCTAATGCACAGTATAGTAAATACAGACAATACTGTATTATAATCATCAGACTTGCTATGAGACTAGGACTTAATTATACCAACCAATAAAAAGAAAGGGTAATTATGGTCCATGATAAGATTGCTAATTATTGCTATAATAACTATCATAAGGTATAAATATACCAACTCAACATGTATACCCTAAATTTACACAATGTTATATGTCAAATATATTTTAATAAAATAAGATAGAATAATTAAAACCCATAAATATTTAGAGAAATTGAATACAACAGAAACAAAGCTGAGGATACCATTGTTTAGTGAGCCTCTTCCAGACATTTCAAATAGTGAGGAATAGACTATTATAAACTATGGCCGTATTTGTGAACAAAGTTTTTAAAAATGTTCAAATAGTTTAAAATACCCATTTATAGTCAGTCATAATTTAGAATTTTTTATTGACATATAACTGATACACAGCAATGTAAGTTTCAGATGTACATACTGATTTATATAGTGCAATATGATTAACAACCTGTCACTGGGTACCAACTCTATCCCACAACATAATTATCATTTCTTTTTTGTGGTTAGAACATTTAAGATCTATTCTCTTAGCAACTTTGAAGTATATAATACAGTATTGTTGACTATAGTATTCTTTACATTAAACCAAGTATCATTTATTAAGTACTTACTATGTCTAGATATTATATATGTACTGCATATATATTTCTCAAAAAGCTCCTGATCCTTTTCAGTACTAAGCATCATAGACATTGTCAGCAGCTGTGATTTTTAAATCACAGGTAGTTATCCGAGAATGAGCTAACTGTTCCCCATGAACTAACCATGGGGACTTATTCCATCTTAATAAAGACTGAAGTTAGTTTCCTCATTATACTCAGCCATCATGTACGACCATGCTGCCCAATCCTTCTTCCATTATGGAATGACCCCAAACTCTCACTGTTTTTTAATGGAACTCTCCAAAGTTGTCTTCAACAACAAAATCAACCTCCAATACTCTCAGCTTCCTCAGAGAATATCCCTTCTGCCTAATTACTTTAAATTTAACCTTATCCCCCCAAACATCTCTTTTCCTGATACCCTTACCTAAAAGCCCTTTATTCTCCCATACTCAGTGTACTAATTGAGTCAGAATTCCTTTATCTCCATTGCATGCCTTCTTCCTTGAGACTGATGTCACTTGGCTATACAATTCATTTATCCCCACTGCTGTCATCTGTCATCTATTGCAAGCATCCTCTCAATCACAGAGAAATTTAACATCTAACTAAATTTAACCAGTTTACTGCTGTATTAAATACCTGTCTAATTGTTCTTACAAGTAATGTCAATGACTAATCCCTCAAAGGTCTTGCCCTCTTCGGCTCCATCTTCATTCATACCGCTCTTTAGTGGTGTTAACCATGGCCATATCCTGGACATTAACACTAAGAAACTGTTTACCTCTGAAACCTAAAGTTTGAATTTATATTAATTCCCTACCACAACTTCTAATCTTCTAATTATCTATCTCATACTCCTATTATATGTGATCTTCATGCTTGATAAAGACCAGTCTCTTTTATTCCAAACACATCCCTCAACAGCTTCCTCCGCACCCTCTTCATCTAGTTAGGCTTCATGGTACATCACTTACAAGCCACTCTCAAGACGGCAGCCTCAGTGTCCTTTGTTCCCTTGTTTTTCCACAGTCATCCATCACAGAAATCCCTACTGAATCAATTTGATTTACAGGTTTCTCAGGCACAGAAACAATACAATTATAAAGAGCAGTCATACTCCGAATGAAACCCTCTAATCTTGGCTAGGCCTATAGCATACTTCTTAGTATTTTCATGCATGTGTCATTCAGCCTTTTACTTATAACCCCCCAACATCACACATTCTAAACTTTCACCATTCTTTAATCCCTGCCACCAGAATTATCTCAGCAAATGATACTATCTCCCCTTTTAAAGAAAAAAATTATACCTACCAACCCAAGCACTTATTTCTCCACACACCTTCACAGCTTTTTCACTCCAGCATCAGAGAAAAATGCTTTTTCTCTCTGTCTCAATCTTTCTGTCTGTTCTCTTGATCCCATCTCTGTTAGGATACTCTAGAAATTTTCATTACTTATTTTTCCCTCTATTTTCAACTTCTTCCCATTAGATCCATCCCCGGGACTTAAAAATATGCTTATCTCTCACAAATACAAACCATCCCTTGAAATTTTGTGACTTCTCCAGTTTCTTTCATATTCATATTCCTCGTAACAGTAATCTACGCTTACTGCTTCCTTTCTTACTCTCCATTTTACTCTTCACCCTGTATGTTAGGCTTCCAATTCCAATCACTCCTCTGAAAATGTTCTGGCAAAAGAGCCCAATGACCTTTTAATTGCCGGGTTCAGCGGTGTCTTTTCAATGCTCATTTCCTTTTCTTCTATCTTCACAGCTATTTGATCCTGGGTTTTGATATTCTCTCTCCCTTTGGCTTCTATGATACAGTCTCTCCAGGATTCCTCCATGTTTCCTTTGTTTGCTTCTTTTACTTTGTCCAGTCTTTAAATGTCCCCACAAGATTCCAGTCTTAGTTGGCTAAACCAGACAGACCATTTATTTCACTAGAATCAACTAGTACCTATAAAAAGCAGGTAAAACCAATTTCTACTGCTTAAACACAGATTTCTAAACTCCACATCAGAATGAAACATTGCTACTAGACATTTTTATTTGGTTGTTTCACGGCATCTCAAACTCAGCATGGCCTAAATTAAATTCTTTCTCTCCCAGGAATTTACTATTTTCTTTTTTAAAAAAGATTTTCTTTTCTATTTTTAGAGAGGGGAAGAGAGGACGAAAGAGAGGGAGAGAAACATCAATGTGTAGTTGCCTCTCATACACTCCTTACCAGGGACCTGGCCTGCAACCCAGGTATGTGCCCTAAACTGGGTATTGAACAGGTGACCCTTTGGTTCCCAAGCCAGCACTTAATCCACTGAACCACACCAGCCAGGGCCATTCTCTCTTAAAAAGTCTAACCTTGTGTCATATTAACCTCACTTCTCTTTCAGCTACAATCTGTGCTTAGAATTTGTCCATTTTATAACTCTGATCTTTCTTTTCTAATACCACAATTAGGTTGCATGAAGTCTCACATGGACTAAAAGTATAATTTTTCTCCCTGCATCCAGCCTCTTGAGAACCTAACCCACACACTACAACCAAAGAGATCCTTAGAAAACACATGTCAGTTCTCTAATCATCTCCCAGTGACAAAGGAGAAAGTTCAAATATCTTACAGGTTAGCTTTATAATCTGACTTTTGTATAACTTCTATCTTATGCCTTCCCATGCACTTCTCAAATGTAATGTTTCACCTGTGACAAAATAATTTGTTTCTTGAATATACTATGTCTTTGCTCACGCTGCTCCTTCTACCTTTACCACCTTTCAAGATTCAGCTTTTCTATGAAACCTTTTGTGAACTATTGCCCAGAATACAGAACCACTCCATTCTTAAAATCTCTCACTGCCCCACACCTCTATCAATGCACTTATAAAAATTTGTTATACTCATTTACATATATTTCTCTCTCCCTCATGTAAAAGGTGAGCCTCTTGAGATCAGGAACGATGTGTTAATCATCTCTGAATCTCCAGAGACTAACACAATGGCTAAAATACATTAGATGCTCAATATTTGTGGAGTGAATTAAATCTTCAAATCACCCTTCACATTTAAGTATTATTATCCTCTCCCACAGATTAAGAGACTCAAGAGAACTGGTCCAAGGTTACATGAATAAAGAGGGGCAGAGCTGGAATTTTAAAAACAAGTTTAACTTCAAAGCCCATTCTTTTCCATTACCCTAAGCATTTATTTCCAAAGATGTTCTAAGAGGCACTGGGTTCTACAAGATGTTAACAGATGATCCTCAGAATAGGGTTCTTGGTGAAATATGTCTAGGAAATACTGGGTTAAAAAGTTAAAGGTAGTTTTGTTTTATTTCTACTGTAAGACCTCACAGCCAAATTAATGTGCTAATAATCATTATTTTGCCCCCAGGACATCCTGATTTTACAGTACACCACTCTGTCTCTTAAAAATCACACCAATATCCAGAAACATAATTCATATTAACATTTTAATAACCAGGCAACAAGCACTTAGTGACTACTTTCTATGTACCTAATACTATGTCAAACAACATAGTAGGTGCAAAAATGAAGACATAGTCTCTTTCCCTCAAATAGTATACAGACTAAATTATCATGTATTAATTCTGTATTAATCATCTGAAAATATAAGACTAAATCTTCTTGAAAAATAGATTGATAAAGAACCCTATTTTGATTCTTCCGCAAAAGCATTATATAATGAAAACTTTCAATCCATTAGAATTAGGGTAGTTTTACTATGTCTAAACTGAAGATCTCTTTGGGGCAAAAAAAACCCCCAACACATAAACAAATGATAATAAAATAAAATAAACTGTGTTACAAAAAATAACTTAGTTTCAACACACTTAAAATATTCATAAAATTCTACTTTATTGATCTAGGAAACTGAACATGCTTCCCGATTCTTTCCCGCATACATTCTAAGGATTAAAGAAGTCATCCAAACAAAGAAAAAACAAAACTTTCCCTCCAGCCCAAAGTTTAACATGTAGCTTTTCAGATAGTGAAAGCAGAGTTCATTCACTTCAACAGAATTAAACTTATTCTATACTTATTTCAGTCACTTAAAGAAAAGGACTTTTTGGAGCTGTGTGTTTTTAATGAGGCTAAAAATAAACATAAAATGCTGACAAGTAGGCCACTAAAATCAAATAGAATTTATAAAAATCTAAGAAGGCCATCAATTTTTCTTAACCCAAATTATGGTTAATGGTTTTTACTTACCATTTTTATTTGCTGGTGAAAAAAAGTTGAAGACAGGAGAAAATATGGTCCCCAACAATGTAGTCCTTGGAGGACTGCCAGAGGAAGGGCTATCTTCTAATTTTCCATTCTGTTTTACATGTTGATTTGTCATTTCATAACTACCAGCTTCTAAAAACGAAAGAAAAAAGTGGCTTTCAGAAATGAGTTCTAAACCATTCATTGTAAAAATAATATTTCATGAAAAGTAACTGGCATTAATATTAGAAAAGTTTATTTTTTAAATAAATCTTGAAGTACATCTCTTTAAGTCAAATTATCTCTTTACAAATTTACTTATGCTTTGTAAACATTAAAATTCACTGCACTTTTCAAAGTACAGTTGACTCCTGAACAAAACAGGCTTGAACTATGTTGGTCCACTTAAACTTGGATTTTTTTCAATAAATACACAATTGGCCCTCCATATCCCCAGATTTTGCATCCACAGATTCAACAGTTTTTATTATACTACTATTATACCGAAAACGGTATTTCCCATCTATGGCTGGAAATCCACACACAGTAGGATGACTGTATGCATTGTTCTATGCCACTTTTTTCAGATTTTATTTATTTATTTTTAGAGAGAGGGGAAGGGAAGGAGGGACAGAAACATCAATATATGAGAGAAACATTATCAGTTGCCGCTTGCACTCCCCCAATTGGGGACCCAGCCCACAACCCTGGCATGTGCCCTAACTGGGAACCTAACCAGCAACCTTTTGGTTCACAGGCTGGCACTCAATCCACTGAATCCCACCAGACAGGGCTCTATGCCATTTTATATAAGGGACCTGACCATCTGCAGGTTTTGGTATCCATGAGGGTACTGGAACCAATTCCCTGTGGATACTGAGAGGCAATGGAAGTTTTTGGAGGAGTCAAAAGTTGTATGTAAATTTTTGACTGTGCAGGGGGTTGGTGTCCTTAACCCCTGTGTTACTCAAGGGTCAACTGTAGATTTACATCCAGAATTATATAGACTGAAAGTCTTCAAATCAACACATAGCAACAGTGAATGAAATAAACTCTTTGTAAGTAAAGCAAGTTACAATATAAAAAACACAAATGCCAACTTTTGTCCTTGTTTATATACATTTTGGGATGCTAAACAACTACTTCACAAAACTTAACCTCTGATCTATTTTTAACGAACAAAAGCGACACAGCTCTAATGAACCAGACTATGTATAGCAGTGTCAAAAATTACTTATGGACACTGAGGCACCATTTCAAAGTGGTTAGAAATAATAACCAGTTTTCTTGTGTATAGAAGATTTTCCATGGATTAAAAAAATAATAAACTCAAACAAATGTTTTGATTAATCATTCTTGACTTTCTACAACCTTACTATCTACCTCAGTTCTTTTCTTGGCAATGGCTCTGTTAACCTATTACTGTATCCCTTTTCTCCCTATTGGTCAATTCTAGCAATAGAGATACATCACTGTACTGAGAGGAAAAAGCTAATAAATTATTATTGCTGTTGTGTTTAAAATAGCATTGGTTAAAAGACAGTACTCCATGCTCTTAAGTGTTGTTCTTTAGAGATTTCTCTGCTTGTCCTTATTTTTCTCTTCTGAGGTACTTGAATGGGGTTTGTCAACAGCAACGCTGTTGACCTTTGGGCTGGATAATTCTTTGTTGTAGAAAGATGGCCTGTAGGATGTTCAGCAGCATCCCTTCAACAGGCTGTGAGAACCAAAAAGTTCTCCAGATACTAACAAATGTTCCTGGGGGACAAAACCACCCCCTAGTTAAAAACAGGTGGCCTAAGTGATCCAACCCCTTCTGAGTTCTGAAATTCCATGCTTGAGAAACAAATTCTTTGTACATACTAAGAGCACATTTCAAATTTGTAATGTAGAAGTTAAGTCACAACTATTACTGCTTTAAGAAGTGAATTTATGAGAAATCAAAAAATGCTGCTCCATATATTTTCATGCTAAACAGTATAAAGCTAGTTGCTCTGCCTTTGTCATTTTAATTCATCAAAGTAGATTTATATTAAGGTAAATTTTCATTTTGCTTCACACTACCAATAAAAAGGAAATTAGAAAAACAAGGCAGAAATTGCTTAAAGCAGATTTTTAAAAACAGAAATGGAACATGTTGGGTGAGATCTCTGCCTATACCTAATAAAGCAATTATCTAAATATTAACAAACCTCCATTTACTTGACTTTTCCGTCTTACTCGAGATATCTGTTTGTTAGGTTTTCCTCCTGCTCTTGGTGTTGATGTGATCAGATTATTATCTATATCGCGTTCAATTCTACTCCGTTTTGAAGGATTTTCTCTTTCTTCCTTAAGATATAAAAGGAAAAACACTCATTGAGTAGTCATTCAAACTTATAGGTTACACTTTTAAAATGATAAAATATGATATGTACCCCAACCGTGTTCACTGCAGCATTATTTGCAATAGCCAACAAATGTAAACAACGTAAGTGGTTCACTGTGAATAAAGAAAATGAGTTATATGTATGCAATGCAATACTATTCAGCCATAAAAAAATAAAATTTTGCCATTTGGAACAATATCAATGGACTTTGAGGGCATTATACCAAGTAAAATAAGTCAGACAGAGAGAGGAAGACAAATAATAAATAATGTATGACCTCACTTATATGTAGAATCTAAAATTTAAAGACCAAAACGAACAAAACCTAGCTCACAGATACAGAGAACAGATTGGTGGTTGCCAGAGGTGGAGATGGGGTGGAAGGGAGAAATGAGTGAAGAAAGTCAAGAGGTACAAAATTCCAGTAAAAAAAAATAAGTAAACCATGAGGATATAATGTACAGCATGGTAGATAGAGTTAACAATACTACTGTATTGCATATTTGAAACCTGCTAAAAGAATAAATCTTCCAAGTTCTTATATTAGAAAAAAACTATCCGAAACTAGGTATTGTAACAGATGTTAGTTAACTAGACTTACTGTGGTGGTCATTTCACAATATCTACAAATATCAAATCATTACACTGTATACCTGAAACTAATGTAACATTGTATTTCAATTATATGGTCAATAAAGAAAGGACAAAATATGGTTTGATCTACTTTCCCATTTTTCAATCTAGGAGAAACAAAATAAAATATCTAACCTTGGTAGAAAATACAGGGAAAACTTGAGAGTCTTGAGTATTTATTAATACAACCACAATACACAAATATAATTACAGCATCCTCACAATTCAGATCCTCTCCCCAGGGTCCACTCAATTTCCATGCTATTGAAATACTGAATTGCACAATGTGCTCTGAATTTTTAGTTATCTTCCCTTATGCCTTGAACTGCCTAAAAGAACAGAGGTCTTTCATAAGCACTTAGGGTAAGAGAGAAAAAACTTACTGGAATTTGCTGTCATATCACTAAAAATGGCACAAACAAAAAACACCCTAACAATAAGACCTAACACTGCCACACCCTCAAATGACAACCTTACTTCTTTATTTTTTTCAAAGATCTTATTGATTTACTTTTAGAAAGAGGGAAAGTGAGAGAAAAATCAATGTGCAAGAGATACTTGAACCAGTTGCCCCTTGCACACCCCCAACTGGGAACCAGACCTGGCCTGCAACCCAGGAATGTGCCCTGATTGGGAATCAAACCAGCGTCCTTTTGGTTTTCAGGCCAGCACTTAGTCCAGAGCCACACCAGCCAGGGCCCAAACTCAACTCTTTAAATATCCAAATTAACACTAAGGACTCTACACCTTAATGAAGTCCTCTATTCATTTCCTTATATCAGGCAAATCCACATATGTCTAGCTTCTACTATTTTTAACAGTATTATTGACTAAAGTATATCCCAAGCAATAGCCTGATTTACTTTTCTCCATCTATTTTTCTCACTTGTAAATTTTTTCCTTACATTACTGTAATAGTGGCTTAAAATTCCTTACTGTTTTAATGAGACTACCTGAAATTTTTTGATAAGGACTAGATTTTAAAATCTATAGTATATAAAGCAGAGGGAAAAGGGGACTACTGTATAGCACAAAATAATGCCTCTGTAATCCACAACATTCTTCAAATTTTTACTATTTATCATTCCTTTGTATTTTAAAATTAATATGACACATCATATCCCAAACACAGATTTCTATTACCAGAAAATGTAGGGGTTTCTTTATAAAGTCCTTCAAGAACAGAAATAAAGCCACAGAGCCCCAACTACACTAAACTCCATTATCTTCTTAATGAATTCTCTTAGTATATCTGCTATTAACATAAATACATATGTTTCTGAAAACCCTGCAATTCTATAACACCGAAAATATTAAGGCTTAAGGGGGAAAAATGGGTCCAGGAGGGTAGAGAGGTCTACACTGGGTCATATCAATCAATGCCTCTAAAACTCTATAACCATAGCACTAACAAAAATAATGACTGGGACATCCAGAGGTAATTTGGATACCTAGTCAGGAAGCTAAGAGCAGCTGAAATGCTACCTTAGGGCTTAAAGTAAAAGTTATTAAAAACAGAAAAGTAGAAACAAAAGTTTATGGGAGCTAGTAAGAGAAGCTTTAAGCGAGCAGGGCTGCTAAAATAGACACAAAAGAAATGCAGACTGCCACATGAGAAGAGTCTCTGCTAGACCAGGTTATACCTCTCTGAAAAGACACCCCCACCACAGATTATCACCTTTAATTAAAAAATCTGTGTGTGGCCCTGGCTGGTGTTGCTCCGTCGATTGAGTGCCAGCCTGAGAATCAAAGGGTCACTGGTTCGATTCCCAGTTAGGGCACATGCCTGGGGTGCGTGCAGGCGAAGTCCCCGCTGGGGGGATGTGAGAGGCAACCACACTTTGATGTTTCTCTCCTCCTCTTTCTCTCTCCTTTCCCCTCTCTCTAAAATTATGTAAATAAAATCTTAAAAAAAATAAATAAAAGGTCTGTGTGTGGCAGCGTGGGGAGCTTTTGTCTCTGTAACACCTACATTTTTTTTTTTTACTTTCCTGATGGACTATAAAATTCCACTTCCATTATTCAGAATCCCCTTGTACAGTTTAGGGGGAAAAAAGCACATAATACCAATACACCACTCATGTTATACTAACTCTGTCCTGCTATTCACCAATACTATGTACAGAGTGATATTGTGGAGGCAGCACATATTGTAGCAGAATGAACTATATACTGTGGTCAATTAAGAGTACATTCAAATACTTTAGTTGGTATCACTCAGGAGAAAGAGGAAACAGAAATTATTAAGGTCAAGGTTAAGATTCTGCAATGACTATAATAAATCCTATTATTCAGAATAATGTATTCAAATGTCTGATGATGGTCCAATTCTGAAATAGTTAGCCAATCAATCCGGGTCTTCCTTAGATATTCAACTGTATACCTTGGAGACATTTTTTTGAATGTGATATGATTTTCAGAAGAGAAACTATGAAAAACAAGAGTTCCACATTACTGTATGTTTTAATTAATGTAATAACCCTACAGTGTCTTCTCTGGAATTTGTATTTTTCAAAGTTGTCTCTAAGATAGGCTTTTAAGGGGAAAATCTTGGGCAGGTGGTGTTCTTAAATCTCTGAATACCAAAGGAAATACACAGAACTAAAGAGGTAACCAAAATCCAAGGGTAAATTTAAAATAAAACCAGGAGACAAGGTAACTCCCCCAAACTCCATGTGGATGAAAACAAACCAACAGTCACAAATCTAGGTGCCCTCATGCACCAGTGCAGAAGAAAGCATAAGGATGCGACAAGGTGTGTATACATCTGAGAACAGAAGTCCAAAATTGCTAAGAGGCAGGTATTCAACAGAAAGCATGGCAGGCCAATTTGATGAGATTGGATCAGATAAAAAGGAGAAGAGGGAGTTGCTGCTCAATCCAATTGCAAAGGGGTCCACGGTGAGAGTGAAACAAGAACAGATTAGCTTTTATAAACTCTTGAAAATGACTACCTATGGCTCCTTCTACAATAGGGCTCCACACAGAGGAGAAACTGCTGAGAATGTCAACAAAACTGAGTAAGAAATCAAGAGAGAAGGAGGAAAAAAAAGCTCCAGATAAACATGGGGTAGAGATAGCTCAAAAAGCAATATATTTTTTAAAATTTTATTTATTTATCTTTAGAAGGAAAGGGAAGGACAGAAGGAGAGAAATATCAATGCATGGTTGCTTCTGGTGCATCCCCTGCAGGGAACTGGCCCCTGCTGGGAACTGGCCTGCAACCCAGGCATGTGCCCTGATGGGGAATCAAACTGCAATCTTTTGGTTTGCAGGCCCATGCTCAATCCACAAGCTACACCAGCCAGGGCTAAAAAGCAGTATTTTTTAAATACTACATAAAAATAACAAAACCACTTTAAAAAGATACCCTTAATCACAACACCCCCTAAAAATTCCAAAAATCTAATATCATATAAAAATGAGCAAAAAGAAACTAACGATTTCAAAACCCAATCAAAATTATTATAATAAAACACACAAGGAGTAAAATAACATCTCTAAGATGAAGAAAACATACATGTCAGAAAAACGTGTAGAGAATAGATAAAAATTATAACCTTCTGCCCAGACTGGTGTGGCTCAGTGGGTTGGGTGTTGTCCTGAAAACCTAAACATTGCTGGTTCAGTTCCTGGTCAGGGCACATGCCTGGGTTGTGGACCAGGTCCCAGGCTGGGACCGTGCAAGGGGCAACCAATCCATGATTCTTTCATTCATTGATGTTTCTTTCCCTTTCTCCCTCCCTTCCCTTCTCTCTAAAAATAAATATTTTTAAAAATTATAACCTAGTTCAAAAAAAGACATTAAGAAAATACTATGAGACATACATCAGAGTTAGAAAAATTCAGAAATGAAGTGACATTTTAACAAAATAATTAGAAATTTTTAAAAAATCACTTCAGAAATAAAGACTGAACTAGGCCCTGGCTGGTATTGCTCAGTGGATTGAGCACAAGCTGTGAACCAAAGGGTCACTGGTTAGATTCCCAGTCAGGGCATATGCCTGGGTTGCGGGCCAGGTCCGCAGTGGGGGTCATGTGAGAGGTAACCACACACTGATGTTTCTCTCCCTCTCTTTCTCCTTCCCTTCTCTCCCCCTCTTTCTAAAAATAAAGAAATAAAATATTTTTTTAAAAGAGACGCAACTAAAGCCCTGGCTGGTGTAGCTCAGTGGATTGAGCGTGGGCCTGTGAACCAAACGGTCGCTGGTTTGATTCCCAGTCAGGGCACACACCTGGGTTGCAGGCCAGTTCCCAGCAGGTGACACACCAGAAGCAACCATACATTCATATTTCTCTCCCTCTCTCCTTCCCTTCCCCCCCTCTAAA